CTACCCTGCTATGGCTAGTTGTCACACTGGAGTAAGTCAACCACACATGTTCAAACCAGAAACCAATTCTGAATAAAAATGAAGACACAGAAAGCTCCACTCTGCAAGCTGACCTGACTGGTTCCTTAGATGTGTTAAATATGAAACCCCGGAGGTCTGAATCTGTGTGTTTGAGACTGTCATTGGAGCACTTCAGTTTCAAGAAGTAAATGTTGAGGTTGACTGCTTATTTTTCTCATGAACTATCTTTTAGCATATACACAAAATACCATAAAGACATGTTACCAAGTTTAAAAATTTTCATTGCAACGTTAACAGCGATTCTGCTTTGTGATTCCTGTTGTTTATCTCTAACCTGCAGCTCAGCACAGAAACACCGACTGTGAAAACAAAAGCATGTGTGCACAGACTGCCGATGCTTCATATTACCTTCAGCTGAACTTTAAAATGCATATTTACACAGAGAGATGACTGTGGAGTCTTTTTCGGGCCCTTGTGTGAACAGCAGAACTGATTACAGCAATCAATAGCTGCTTCAGTGTACATAAGGGCACGGGATTATTGCTTTAAGGTCAACCTAAAATATTCGAACCTGTCCTCTAAGCATACGTTTACTATCTAATGCGTAGAAATCCCTGAAATTGAGCAGCTCTAGCACAGCGTCCATGCACACACAGAAGTGCAACACCATCACTCCCCGCAATCCTTGTGGGAAGCTCAAAGCCCTGAGCTGCATGAGTGTCCAATGTGTTTCTGCCTGAGCTGTTCACTTAAATCAATGAATGATTTAAGGCCGCGGCTCTCCTGTGAATTCACATGGTGTGTGGTTATACAATGCATATTGGCTTGAATATGACGAGCAATTAGAGTTTCCTTCGTGCGCTATTTTTGGCCCTTGTGCCAATCAGAGGTAAACTTGACATGCCACACGACTCCACCAGCTTCTTACTGGTTATACATAATTCACATCAGTGCAAGAAAGCAGGAAAACATAATTTCAAAAGGATGCTGGCAGATCATCTCGGCCTGTAGCACTCGATGGAAACATAAGCCAAGTCATGTTAGGGAAAATTGGCCTCAAGTTGACTGCAGAGCATCTCCCCCTTCTATTGTGTTGTATAATTCATTTTCCTGTAAGCTGTGCCCTGGGAGATGAGGGACAAACAGAAATGTGATGATATCAGCATGGCCATAAAAATACTTCATTGTCACCAGAAAATGTCTAGTGTTGGAAAGACAAATTGGATTGCAGGGCAAAGCCTGGAGTAGAATAGAGAGTAAGGCCTATTACCAGTGTAGTGCAATAATGTAGCAGGAGGCCATAAAGTAGCAGCAGAAAGGTTTCCTGTCACAAAATGGAGCAACATGCTAGGAGGAGGCTTCGGGCTGCTGTTAATATAATTGATAGCACAGAGAGGGAGGCAGAAGGGAGGGATGTTCTGCAGCTTAACAAACACTAAAGCCTGCAGGGCTCACGACAACAACAACAGAGGAATGTCAGCGACAGGACAAACAGGGATGTCACCACTTTACTGTCCGTTAAAGCAGGGAGCAGACTGTCAGAGCACTAAAGCATCCACAATACGAACATCTTTACTTTGTCCTGACAGAGGATGGTGGCAGTCGCTGGTACCTTTTGTTAGTCTGTCTTTGTTTTGGTGAAGAGCTCCCTCCTATTCATGTGGTTCAGTTTTAGGGGTCCTACTACAGCAAATTCTAAGTTACACACTTCATTTTCTGCATTCTGGTGAATTGTCATGCACCAAATTGTACATGTGTCTGTATTGTTAAACACTCTCAAAAGTAATTCAAGTGCTCTGTTGCCACCACTTAATTAAATGCATGGTTGCAATGTAAAAAAAAAAAATCTAAATTACTGACATAATATTGTTGGAAATTGTATCAATTTAATATTATGTGTAATTCAAGCTCAAATCTTGACTGACTTAAAACTGAATTCAAGTTGAGATGACTTCATGAAATTGGCTTGATAACTTAATTTTTCTTCAGCTTCAGTTAGTCATTTTCAAGTCCTTAACAACTTACATTTACAACCAATTATTAAGTAACTGTTACATTTTTAAAAAATACCGATATTTGTAAAGGAAAGACTAATTCCCTTCACTCAATGTTGTTCATTAACTGAACATAATTTACATCAGAAGCTGTCATATGGTGTTGCACAAATTATGTAAAAAAATATTTTTCTTTTAACCTAAACATTTGTTTTTAGCGCAGACTGTTAAAGCAGTTTTAAAATGAAAATCCTCTGGTTCTTTAATGATTTTACTGGAAGGCAGGCAAATCCATACGTTCTAATCCTTGAGGGGAATGTACAATCTACACTAATGAGCCTACTGACCAGACCTCAGTGGCGGCTGGAAGGGATGTGGGCTTATATTTTAATGGGCAATAGTTTAGTAGAAAAAAACACACCTCATGTGATTTATCTCAACATACACATCATGTCTGTT